TATATACGTACGTATACGAATATAACAAAGTAAAGTATTCTATAAGAATTTCTTTCACATTTCCACTCCTTTGTAGAAATTCTCCAAAATATTATTTGTCCTTCACAAGGTCTTCTACGATTATTCTACCAAATTTTATATAAATCGGTTTAAGTTTGAACAGACAGATTCCCAGATTATTATATTTTATCAAATTTGTATTCACAATTATCTGAAAGAAAACTGTTAAAGTCACCTGGGACTGCATTTATAGGGTTACGTAGCCCGTAGCTGTGACAGTTGTCTAGCCTGTTTACTATTTCTGACGACGCTATAAAAACAAATACTAAAAACAGAACAAAATAAATATTTAAGGGCGCATTCCCATACAACAAACGCTTTTAGCACTTGGCCGGCTGTTATTCTTTATGATAAATAAAGATTTTCAAGGTAAGGCTTTAGTCGGTACTGTGAACAGAGTAATACAAATGGAATAAACTCCATGGAATGTAGAAAGGGATTTCCGGATTCTGTTTTATAAGAAAATATCTTCTTGTCCTAATTCTTAAACAACCTTTTTTAGCGTTTATTGTAAGACCAGGAAAAGGTCTGAAAGATCAAATAATATACATAGTGTCAACAACGTCATTAATAGAATGTGTTGTTTATAAATTTCTTGCTAGAATAACGTAGTTAAAAATTATATACGAGTACTTTGCAGTTTTTGTAATGAAACAAGCTGATTTGGTGATTTGAAGCGAGTTGTCGAGTGGAAGAGATGTGAAATAATACATAGCTTAAAGGACTGAGTGACGATTTAATAGACTTTTTCAATCGACTTCAAGAGAAGGAATGTATGTTTAAAGTTTATCCGCGATTATTATTAGTGTTTATTAGATATTTTGGCTGGTATTTTGTTTGTAATAGGTATTTAATGAGTATTGGATTTTATTAATATGACGTTAAGATAGATATTACTTCAATTTCAAATACGATTAAAACTATTTTAATTATTTTAGGTTAAATCAAAGTGCACAGAGTGTGAAGAGTTCCATCAAGATCCATTAATTTCAGGGATTATCCTTATTAAAGATCGGGACATATGATATTTTAAATTAGGATAAATGCCTCTTACTAAATTCATACTTGTTTGGAGTTTTGTATCATTATTCATTTTTAACCGACTTCTATAAAGGAGGTTATCAATTCAGTTTGCTTGTATGCAATTTCGTTGGAATAGCATAATATTCATATATGTAGGTCTATATGGTCTTCTAAACACGTGTGAAGTTTTTTATAGATGTATGGATTTATGTATGTTTATATACGGACATCTCGCAAACTGGTCATCCGAATGTAATAATTATTTTTTGCTTAATTGCCTAGTTTTCAACTTAGGATACATTATAAGTTTTATCAAAATCGGTTCAGTAGTTTTACAGACATAAGGTAAAGCTACTTACATAAGGAGTAAAAATTTAACCGACTTATATGAGAAGTTAAAATTAATGATCTTTTCTTTAACCAACTTCAGAAAAGGTGGACGAGAGTTTACTTGTGTGTGTTCGTCATTAACTGATTACAAAAAAAGAGGTTATCAATTTGACATGTAAGAATGTAATTTAGTTGGAATATAGCACAATTTAAATAAGTATTTTTATTAATGTATATTACATTTTGTAGGTGTACATTATGTATGTGTGTGTGTATATGTTTGTCCACGTATTTGTCGTTATATAGACATCGGATTGAAATGATACATTTTTTGTTTGCTTAACTATTTTTCAACTGAAGGAACAACATAGGATAAAATTTATTAAAATACTGTTACCAGAATAAGGTTAAGTTAGATTAGAAGTGCGACCCAATAAAAACGAATTGCTTTCAGAATACTGGGTTAGGTTAGAACTGCTATCTGAACTCTAAATATAAGTATGTTTAAATACAGAAAAAGGTATCCATTTACTATAAGTAAGAGTTAAGTTATATCAATCGCTAATAACTTCTCTTATTAAAAAAGAAAGAAATAAAAAAAAAACAATAAAAATAAAATAAATGGCTTTAAATAATATCGCAATAAAGAGAAACAACCAACCAACTTTAACTATTATCTGCATATTTATCTGGACACAGCTAGGTGCTTATTAGCATAACTTTAATTTTCATTGAGTTTGTAAATAAAACAACTATTTTATATATGATAGCGATTACGTTCGCAACATTTCTTTTAAGGACATTAAATGAACGATATGCCTAATTTGACGATTATTGGGAATACCTCAGGAAAGCGTTAAATGCAAATATTCTAACTTATATTAAGTTACATACAGTCAGTTTCACAAACGTTCATTAACATTGTCATTTGTTTTCAAGCAACATTACCGATACAAATTTGACATTAATTAAAGCTTAAAGGCGTCACTAAATCTTAATGGAACTCTTTTGTGCAACTGATCATAAGTGTTTATTATGAGACTTGGTTATCCAATTCATCAATCGTTCTGAAAGCGGTTTTGAATTTAAACCTTACATAGACATATAAAAAAGTATTCCCGCTCTTCCTACTTAATGGGTTAGTAATCGGATTGGAAAAAAAATCCCACTGCTCTTATCAATACTGAGTACCAGTGGCGGACTAAGGGAGGGGCGGAGGGTGCTGGCCGCCATGAGCTTTCGGTCTTAGGGGGCTTCCAAAAGCCTGCAGCCATTCGCCAAAATCACAATAATATAATAAAGGAAACACAATATTGTTTAAGTTTCTGTCTTGGTTGGAAAAGTTGTTGATCCGGGCCTATTGCCGCCCCGGGGCTCCGATGGTGCCGAGTATCGATCGTAGAACTGGAAATAAGCCGCGTTATTTGCTCTTATTCTATTTTCACGCGCTTGCGGGGTAGGCAGTATGATGTTTTTTAATATTTATTTATTATTATTTATAGACAACAACCAATAGACCGTTCCGTCACCGACCAGCACTTGACCATGACTGGACTGTCAGTCAACATTTTTTTAAACCCAAAAACTTTTAACATAATGATAGTACATTCATTGTTTGTTTATCTATTTACTTATTGTTTCTGAAATAGTTCCTCAGTTTGATCATAATTTTGGTTTAGCAGCCAGTCTCTGAGAATTATTTTACAAGCATGTTTATTTCTGTGATCTAATTTTACATTGGCGGCTTAAAATATTATGCCTGTAACGATATGTATGAGTTAAGTTGAAAAATTATTTATTCGAACTCGAAATTAGCTCTTTTGCCGAGATTCCTGTGTAAATTATAGCTAGCGCACACCCTTATGAGTTAGCTTCTTGTATGTGCAAGAATTCTCATGATTGGATCACTTTTATCGAAATTAGAATAATATTAGGATGTAGATCGAATGTTACTGGTCATAATATATATTGAAATAAAAGTCTTAATGACATTTATAGAACCATCTATTTTTATGCAATATTATGAACATAGGTATTATTATGACTAAAATTATAAAAAAAATGTGAAGCACTATGTTAAATTTTATATACAAATTTTACATTTATGTAAAAAAAATTATCACTACATATTTTTATACTATTCACATTTTAATCTTTACAAACAATGTATTTAACACACGGGGTGATTCATAACTATAGATACAAACAAAACTTCACGTAGGAGCATAAGGTAAGAAAGTTTTGGTCACCTATCCAATAACTGATCATAACGATGGTTACTTAACTTCGGCAATCGCAGTCCCAATGATCTAAACACACGCGTCAATGTTTGATATAACAGAAGTCGCGGTAATGCCCTTGATTCAAATATGCAAATAAATGATTTTAACAATTAACAGGGTTCCGAAATCTCCGAGACTCGTTTACGAAGAAACAGTGTAATAACCAAGCGGACGGCGTGTAAACAACACTAATTGATGACCTACAAACTTTATATTATTTAGTATAATACTGTTATTTTTTATACAGTGAACGACGCACCAGTAAAGTACCCGCTTAATTCTCTTGCCATAACTGTAGCCATAGCTATAGAAACGATTCGATTGAATATTGATTTGTTTTTTTTATTCAGTATTTTTAAATAATTTAGAAAGTACAACAACCAAAATCATTAAATTAATTAATACAACAAGAGCATTCTGAAGTAACGTAAACATATGCATATATAACTATGACTAGATTCATAGCCGAGTGTTAGGTTTTATAAAACAATAAAGTTAATCACATATAATCGTCCACTACAATTTTCGTTTCACGAAAATAAATTTTAACATCTCTGAATATTCAACAGCATTATCAATTCATGAGAATTTATTTTTTAAACATAAAAATATATATATATTAAGTAGATAATATTTGTTTCTTAGCCCAGAGTCACTTCTAAATATGATTCATGTCATTCAATACTACTATATCTTATATATACACTAACTTATTTTTAATTAGGTCTTTGATTTGTTCATACTCGATTTAATAATATGTATTAAAATTTTCAATTGGATGTAAAAATAAGAATTTAGCAGCGTATTTAAAGAATGCCGAAGAAGAATTCCACTTCAAACATAACGTCAGTTGAATAATTGTTATTATGTGATGAGATGCCTCTTTTTCCTCGTCGTCGACAACTTAAGATTATAAAATTTTGCACTTGGATGAATTAAACCTTTCTCATGATTCTCCATATCCACCAATGGTAGAAGCTCGGTATTATCTCTTACCAGGAGTTCTATTTTTGAATCATTCGACTCGCAGCCACCTTTTCTTCACTATTAATCTGCATTTGACACTAGAAATTCAATATTTTAGTTTCTCTTAACTTCAATGTCATAACTCAAACGTTTATAAACATATATATTTTGATCTACAAACAAATAAGGACACACTTAAGTGCCCGTGACTCAAATAAGCGAAATTACCAAAGGGAAAGACAAGTTGATCAATTTTATGTAGTCTTAAGTTATATATGATTTAGTATACAATTATTTTCTGATTTTTAATTCGGCCATATTGTAATTCTTTTTCTTTTACTGAAATGTACATTTGCGTAATTTATTCAATAATTATTTTATTTTTATTACCATGGCCAAGGATGCCAAAAACAAAAATATTGGTTAAAAACCATTTTGCCTCTGGCACTCTGAGATGAGACTCGAGTACACGACCTTTCGCAATCCGACGACTGTTAGAGCAGTCGACCCAGGACTACTGAGCTAACCCAGGACTTGGTTATCTGGGTAGTGATTAGAGCAGCACAAAGTGGATTTTTTAAGAAAGTTTCATAGAGAATATTTGTTTAGTTTGGCGTTTCGAACGCAAACTTGATCGAAAATAATAAAAATTTTGGTGTTAAATTATTGAGTTCTAATGGCAAGATTTGAAACGAGAATGTCGTAACGCACACATAGTCGCGAGCACTTCACAACTACACATACACATTACTTTAATGCTAATTATACAAAGATATTCTAAAATCTTTTTATCTTTAAAATATACATACAGATCAAGTTAACATCGATAAAAGTAATTAATCATAAACTGGACAATCTCTAATATACTGATGGTGTTTATAAGGTGTGGTGCACACATGTGGTCTGTGATCTGAGTGCGTACAATGTCGACGTGTTTTGGATGTGGTCATCCGGCTTAGAGTCGTCAAGTTCTCTGGTACAGATGAATCTGAACATCGGAAAGATCTTCGGAATTCCCGCCGAAACTTTCCTGTTATACAAACAAAATATATTTTATTAGAAAAGAAACTAGATAAAAATAGAAAAAAATACAGCCAAATAAATACCTCCTTTTAAATATAATTTACAAACAGGCATTTAGCCTGTTTGTAAATTTATTATATCAATGTTAGCGTTAAAAATAAGTATATTCTTCAGAATTTGACATACAATATCAAAATAAAAATCTACTAATTCATAATTACGTTAAGTTTGATTTGAAATATATTACAATAAATGTCCAATGTAATATCCTATCGAACAGTCTATGGTCTTAAAAATCTATAGTTTTATGGTTTAAATTTAAATATATTACCTAAAAATTATTATTGGGTTCAACAAATTTCAAGAAACATTACTCCCCTTAAAAAATAATATTTGTATTTAAAAAGAGTATTAGTAAAATTGCATGTGATAATGTCGGGCGTCTCGGTCGGACGTCAGATAAATTTTAATATAACAGAGTGACTTGCTTTACGCTTAAGATAACATTAGTTTTATATGCAAGCTTATATAACATTGCTATTCTATAAAAACACCTACTTCAAAGATAATAAAGGCTTTATTTTATTGAGCTTCTAACACTGAGACACGCTGTATTCGGCATTATTATGCCCAGGCAGAATAGGACGGTGAAGGTGTAATTCAATTACAATATGCCTATATTCAGTTTCCAGTTCTATCATCAGACCCTGGATATCACGAGGGCCAAAGTCCTTGTTAGGGCAAATCAAATGAAACTAAACAGCATGGGGTTGCGTCATTTAATTATCCTGTCAGCTTAACTATCCGATCCTGAATATTATATCAAACTGAGCCCTTGTCAAGACAATTCTAAGAGAATGGGGTTGCTTTGATTTACAATACAGGTCCTACGACCATGCAACATCAGAACATCTACGTATTGATATTGTATTGTCAACCAAGTTATACTTAAATACACATGCTTAATTCAGCTCTTTCTTTTCAGAAAAAATCTTGTATCATTATTTTTAATTGTTCACTTAGCCAGGCTTTAGTTTTCGAACTAACATTTTCAAATATTTTAGGATTGTGGCTTCGTGATAAAGTATTATATAAGACCTTAAACTTAACTGCAATTATGATGCAATCCAGCCTTAGTGTTTTATATGTCTCACTGAGTTTTTTATTCATCAGACATCTAAACTATATTTTTAAAGTCTTCATTAGGATGTTTTTAGAATGAAAAATATTTAAAGTCATGCCAAAGTCAGAGTTTCACAAAAAACTCAAGTCTCGTCTAAAAGATACGGTATCTTCGTATTGAAGGTATCATGGTCATTCTTTCATGTATCTCTACATAGTTTGTGTTCGTATTAAGCAGTCTTGTTTAGTTTCTTCACTGTCTCTCAGTAGCTTTTGATGGAATAAAAGAATGAAACACATGAAAATTTGGTTTTAATCACAGTTGGCATATATTATTTAAAAGTCATAATGTAGTGAGCAACGTAAAAGTTAAAGGGAACAGAGTTTATGAACTTGATTTTATTAATTCATTGGAATGCTAATAATTATATCCTCATAAGGTGTTGCATATCGCGGTATGTGAGAAGCAAGCAGTGCGTGTAATACGTACGTTCTTTATATAAGAGAAAATAGTCAGAATGCCATATCTGATTATTACTGTTCTTGTATTTCATTATTTTAATGTTAATCTTAGTAAAGTATAGAATGACGTGGTTACATTTGTTATTATCTAGCTATTAATACTCCTTTTAAGTCAAAATTCGAATAGAATATCACATTTAGCTATTGATTTTGATGATGTCCCCTATTCAGTATTTACTTACTAATTTATATCTGATTTTTTCCCATACATTTTGAGCAGATTTGTCAAAGAACAATCTTTTGACATTGACTGTGGTATGCGTTTCACCATTCTCCTTCTTGGCATAGTCAAACAATAATTTTAACCTTGGGCGATTATAGTTTGACGTCATCCAACAATCAAATTACCGGTTAAGCTTACCGGTAAAATCTTAATCGGTACTTTGACATGTTTGTTATCATTAAAATAAGTCGGTGCAATTTACCCTAAATATTTCAAACGAACACGTTTAATTTTGCTTTTTTCTATACACCAAAAAGTTCAAATGTTTCGAATTATTCGCTATAATTTTTTAACTATAACTAGTAAGCGATGAGTCAGATCTGAACGAATCATAATTCATGGTTTACTTCCAATCATTTAGACGTCAAAAGTATTATTAATTTGTTTTAAAGAGGCAACCTACTAAATGTCAGTTTCTTTATCTATATAAAGCCTTTTTCTAAAATATAATATTTTCGCTTATATAATATGATTGTTGTAGATATATAATATAAATCATTACCGTATATATATAATATCATTATTGGAAATCCATCAGATAACTGAGTAAATCGATCTAGTTGAGCTGCGTTTGATTTTTCAAAATTAATTTTGTGAGAGATCGCCGCATACTTTACGATTTAATTTTCTTTTATAAGCTTATAGATAAACGGCTTACGAGGGACGAAATTTTATCCTGCATTTCTCTAAGGTGGTTCCTAAAGTGGGTTGCGTAGAAAGGTCACCACGGTTCCTTGCAATTTCTTCCTTTTCCTTTATTTTTATACGCATTACCAAAAAAAAAATATAACATAGCGAACAATATTCTTCAAATTAAACGTTATCTATAAAATTTATTAAGTTCCCGCGACTTCGTCCCCGCAAGTTAAAGCCTATGTCATCCGCGTATGATGTAGCTTCCTACGGGTGAAAGAATATTCATGATCGGATTAGTAGGTATCTTTTTAAGATTACCATTACAAATTAAATTTGTTTGTTTTCCTCTTTATTTTATAAGTAAAGTTAATACCTAATTAAAGGCTCATTCTAAACTTAGGGTGTAGAATCTTTTATTTATTTCTGATATCATATACAATTTTTTATTGTTATTGCAGCTATATATTTCACAGATTATACTTGACCGATTTTAAAATTATTTTTACCTACGTAAAGTTACATCATAGGAGGGTGCATAGGCTATAATTTACGCGGTTGAAGTCACGGGAAAACAGCTAGTACTAAATAAAAATGTCATTATTACGAAAATGATGTTGGTAAGTATCAAAATATCGTCCAATTCAAAAAAAAGCAGTGTTTTCATTGTAAATGTATTCATTGTAAACGCAATTATAAAGCCTAACAGGGTGTCTCAATGTTTACTTAACGTAATAATCACATCTGAATAGAATTTCAACTACTTGTATTTTGCCGGACTGACCTGAATTCGAATATTATTAAAACAATCTCTTCCTCACAAGTCAACAGTGACGGATATATTTATTATTTTGTGATCTACAGCATCTGTGTCATAAACAGAGGTCGGAATTAGGTAGAGTTATTTATGTACTTGCATCGAAATGTTGATATTAATGAGGACCTTCCCGGGATTTCTTTCTTTCATTGATGTAAGTTTGGCAACGTCGTGCGTGCAATAGTTTAAATTGTGTAAAAGTAAATAACTTTTTATTTAAAATATCACGGGATTTTTTCTGCTCTTTAAAATTAATCTCGGGATTTGAGGCATATCCACTTTATTCTTTCGCTGTATGAAATCAGTGTGAGTACATGAATAACTCTGCCTAATTCCGACCACTGGTCATAAAGGGTATAGTTGAAACGCTATTGACTTTTCATAATCACGCTAATATTAGAAGAATAACCCTACAGCTTTATCCGAATCGCTGTCAACTATAGCGTTACAGATTTAGGTTTGCCACCACAAATCTATCTAATGCAATGGTTCTCATCCTAATTATCCTCATGAGGGTTAATCAACTATTCTGTGGGTGTAAAAGAAATTAATAAGATCAAATGTATTAAAATACCAATGATAGAGTCTCAATATTAAACACGATTTAAGATATATTTTAAGTGAAGTTAAACATAAAAAGCAGGTGAATGCAAACCCTTAACAAATGTATCGTATTTGCTTGTAATTTTTTTATTACTAGAATTTTAAGGTTAGGGTAAAATTAGTTCTTCCTAATAGATCAACCAATCGCAATGTAATTGTTTTATATGTATAGACAACAGCTCGCCAGGTTATACAAATTTCTCCACTTGATTTTAAGCCTTAATATTTTATTGATAGAGTATAATCAACTGGAGAAATTTGAAATATTGTGGTGCATAACGTGCAGTCATAGGTATTTACAATATTATATTATTGGCATGGCTTATAATGAGGAAGAATTAAAAAAAAGAAAACACTAAAAAGCACCTCACTAGATGGCGACTCTAGCAAAAGTTAGTTTTTGCAGGAAACGAATAGGCCAAAGATAGTAATTTCCGTTCCTTTTGACTGATATATTAAAAAACTGAAATTTGCAAAGATCGAAACTTAGTATTAATACAAATACGAAAAAGTACAAATAGAATATGAGTTGTTTAATGTTTTGAAAATTAATTTACTTTTATATATGATAGAAAACCGGAAGGGTTGTCATCAAGACAGTACCGTAGCGACATCTAGTTTGATTTCGGGAACTTTTTTTTTAAATACTTCCTCATTAAATAAGTCTCACCATTTGTGCAACTTCTGATCTGCCTCATCCAGTCTCTTAATCTTAGATTGACTAGTACATACTTACCGCTCATGAAATTGTATATTAGCGGGTTTATGGCGGAGTTGGCGTAGCACAATACGTGCGACACCAGCGCCAGGAATGTCACGGCGTCGTTCTGTTCCATATCCACGGTGTACCTGTGGAAAAGGAAAATATATTGAAAAACAAATTTAATCAAACTTTCCGTTTGCAATTGACGATCACCGTATAATCCCGAAGTTTTTCTCTTTATATCATGTTCAATTCGTAATTGGTTAAGATCAGCTCTGCGATTCTGTAAAAATTCATATCCGAATTCGAAATCACGTCATTTAAAGAAAAAAATCTATATATTCTTAAATCTATAAAAATCTATATCTATTTATTCTTATATATTGATTATACGTGTCTCACACAGAACACAGAAAGACCTGTGTTCTGTGCATGTCTCAGATATTCTATTCCTATGTCATTTTGAAACTCACTTCACTTATGCCACGACACGTTTTAAGATTACTATTCAAGATTGAGCAGATGCCGCTTTTTGAAGTGAAGCGGATACTTGAGTTTGAATTCGAATTGCAGGGCTGTAGGACGATTTTTACTTTTTACTAGATCACAAAATAAGAAAAAGACGATGTCGCAGTCAACTGGTAAAAACATTTTAATTGTGCGGCTAGCCGTTTAATTGAGTAGCGCAATTCAATTGCACACCTAGCTGATTTAAAAGCCGCCAAAAACGTTCATTTACTTTTGTGATCTATTTAAAGAAATAACCTCGAAATTTAAGCTTAAAAGTCTTAAATTTCTAACATATTGCGTGACCCACAGAACTAAAATAACTTCGTTGTTATATAAGACCAAAATCAATTTCGGTATTCCCGATGAACGGAAAGTTAATTAGCTAGCTGACCTTTGTTCAGCCGTGTATAGTTGATTGTTGAGTTTATGACTTGGCTGATCGAAAGTCAGCCCGTTATTTGAATAGCGAAAGCCAATTAAAGAGCGAACCGCCCAATTGGTCGGGCTTGTATAATACCACTTGATTGAGACATAAACATTGCCAGAATTGACGCCCTGATTTCATTTCGATTATCTCCAAAAATGATGAAACCGCTTAGTTATAGAGATATCCACAAGCCTAGTGAGAACAAGTAGTAGTGAGTGAGTAGCGTTAAATGATGAGTGTTGAATGATAGTGCGAATATTTAATAGACGTTCTAAAATAAAATTCTGACTTCAAAAGAGTATAACATCGGTATAAGTTTAAACGAAGCATTATTTTTCATTCTTTTGAAGTTTTAAGCTGTTTGCACTGATTTTTATAGAGCTTTTATTACTTTTTGGAGTAGGTTTTATTTGATTGAACCCTCTATGATGTGACAGAGGCTATTTTATATCAGAAAAGCACTACAGTAAGCTTGATTGATGGATTACCGTCCCAGAGTTTAGCGGGAAAAAAAGACTTAAAATATTTATAATTACCTCCCATAAATTATAATTAAGAAGATAATTAATTATCATATATCATTAATTAGGTTAATGTATCTAATAGGCTTTTACTTATAATTTTATTATTCTAACATAAGATCAGGTTAAGAATCTAAAGAAAAAAATCGTTCTTTTTCATTTAAATTTAGATTATTACGTAATAATTATTAATAGAAGAGAGACTCGGCCGAATCATAAACTGTCACATAAAGTGGGCAGGGACTAAAACTGGAAAAATGGACGCAATGATAATATTATAGTTTCGTCGTCGCCCCATAGGATTGATATTATGTAGATCAGTTTGAGTATCAGGGTTCTAATCTAAATAACCAAATCAAGAGATTTGTACCATTTAAAGGTTTCTTACGCTAATTTCCACACAAAGATATTCGTAAGAAGTAATTTTGTTACCGATTTAATACTGAGTAGGTATATATACAGAGATGTTGTCTGTTCTGTGATGTTTTAACGAGATACGAAATACTTAAACAAAATGAAAGAATTAATTGCGCAAAATTTTTACTTTAGCTTTAATGAAACATTCTCAGTTTCCATTACATCGTATTTTATTAACACAGCATTTTCAACAAAAGATATTACAAATGTGATCAAAAGACTCTTAAATATAATTGAAAATTGAGTTCAGACACCATTGTAGGTCCTGTGATGTACGCACGCGTAAAATTATATAATATTAGAATTAAAAAAAAATAATTGCATTATCTCATAATTTTATGTATTAATAATATTAATAACTATCAATGTGTACGAACAAGGAATAATGTCATCGATAAAACCGAGTAAAATTAATTTCAAATTTTCGATATTAGTTAAGAGAGCGGTAAAATAAAATAGGCATAAATGCGTGATTTTACCACCTTACATACATCATCTTAAACCTAATATAGCGTATGGTCCAAGATGGCAAATTTGTTATTTTTTGAACTGTTACGATATGAGTTTCAAATGAAAGGGTTTAATGCCTATGATTACGGTTAATTAACAAAAAGCAAGTATTTATACAAGCATTTGTATAAGACGTAAAAATTTAAAAAAATATTTCGATGTAAATATTCATAAATTTGCCATAAATAAAATATTTAAAAGGAAAATAAATTCTCGAGCTTCTCCGTGCTTCGAAAGACACGTTATGCCGTTAGTCTTGGTAGTATTTGCAGCCTTCAACATTTTTTGATCTGCACTTGGTCTGTGTTATATTAATATATAATAGTCTAATTAAGTACCATTTAGGAATAGGAAGACTAAGGAAGACCCAAGGAATAGGAAGACCCATAGGTCTTCCTATATGATTCCATCGATTGGTAAGGCCTGGGATCCAGCAGTGGGGACGTTAATAGAGCTATGATATAAAGCTGGCCGCTTTTTTCTTTTTTTTTTTAATATAAACTTATCGATGAATACTCTTTGTTATTTTTTTCATATGGATGCGAACTGGAAAAATTCGATGTATCATTACTTTTTGGGAACGTTTTTTTTGGGTTTTCTGAACGTGAACGTACGATACACTCATCCATCATGTTATTTCCCATTCTCTTTCATCGTAAATAGGACACTTTCAGCCTGTTTTCTCAAGGTTACACAATATGAGCTCTGCTTTGTGATCATAATAGAAATACAATCACGGTCTTTGCCAGTTGTATCAATTACAAACGATGGCACCTATTTCGTAATTATTTATTTTTTTATAGTTGTATCTTAAGCTCAATGTACCTAAGCTTGAATGATTTATTATATAGGTAGCTTTTTCCCGCGACTTTGTCTGCTTGAGATTAGTATATCTAGTAGTCTAATCTTTTAATCAATTTCAAAAAAGGAGGTTTTCAACTCGGCTGAATGTTTTTTGTTTTTAATATGAACATAGTCTTCAATCAATTTCCAAAAGAGGAGGTTTTCAACTCGGCTGCATATTTTTTTTTTTAATATGTACAATATTTTCGGCACTAGTGGACCGACAGACCGTCCGATAGAATCTGCATCGGTTGACATCTACATTGTAGATGATTCTTTTTTATTTAAAATAATATATTCTCTAGAAGGTACCATTAAAGTTTAATTGAGATTGAATTAATAGTTTTGCTTCTATATCATAAAACCGGAAGAATCGTCTAAACTATTTTGATATTAGTATTTTTTTTTAAATTAAAGCGACTTAAAAAATATTGTAAAATAACAAATCCAATAAACTTCATCTGAAGTGAGGTGATCAAAAGGCTTACTCACAAATTCTTTCTCGAAATTAAATTAAGTTCAATGAATTTGTTAGTCGCCTTTGTAGATTTTAAGAATAATTTTCAATTTCTTTCTAATCGGATTTAGTTATAGAAGAAGATAAATTGAAACACAACCTAAGAAAATATTTATTTCTAAAAAGTCGATTAGCATTTTATAAAAAGTATTTTATAATTGATTGGTTGTGTCGCTTTAATATTGTATAGGTAGTTATTTTTTTATTATTTTACTGTGATAATTTATCTGTTTACAGTTTTTCTGCGTGAAACGAATAAAAATTAACATTTTCGCAGTGGTCAACGCGCTCTGTCTGCGTTACCATTATTAAAGTATTAAGCAACTTTCGCAAACGTCGGTTATAGAATAGGTTACCAAAAATTTACTATCCCGAGTTTTTCAGTACTTCGGAAGTTAAGTTAAGTCAATGGTCATGAACTCGACCCGCGTGGTGGGTTATAGCGGATTCTCTCAATTCAATCTCATACTGGCTGAGCTCCAGCAGCGGGTTAATAGTCTGATAATTATGTGGATGATTTTGCATAATGTTGAAGACCTCCACTTAAATAGAAGACGTCAAAATTTTAAACGTGTTAATAAAATATAGGACTTTTTGATCACGCTGATGGAACCCGGGAGTGAAGCACGACTTTAGTATTTTTTTAAAATCATAATAAAATATCTTACTAACTTACAAATTCGAAAACAAGGGAAAAATGAAAGGTACAATGAGCAATAGAAGATTGTGTAACAAAAAAGTATACCCTAACTTAAATAAGTGAAAGTTGAGAAACAACATCTTGAGCTTACTGAAGTTTAATTACGCTCATGAACAACTTTAACTTAATCAAACGTAGACAAAACTCTTAACAAAAACAGCGAAGCCTAGAATAACAAAAAAACAACTAAGCCGTCTCAAAACACTTACAAAGAAATAATAATTAGGTACAAGTTAATCAAATAAAGTCTACTTATAAAGTCGGACCTTGTACTTGAATTTAGTTCTAAGTTTAGTTAAAAATAAACTCTTTTATACCTTAAAAAAATAGTGAAATTGAGAAATAGTGAAGATTAAGGAGTCTGTTTTATTGAGTTTGATTTTTAATATACGACGATGAACGCCTGTGATTTTGTTGTTTATAATGTTTTTTTGTTTCATAATTGCCTTTATTTTAAGGCAATGTCACGTCAAAATGTTAGATTAATCTAAGGTTTAATTTAACTTTCATCCAACAATATGATTATTTAGAGATGATAATGAAAGGTTTATGATGGTAATGCATCATTACAGGTACTTACAATTACACTTTTATCTCCTATTTTTCTAAAAAGCTCCGTCAGTACCAAGGTGAGGCTAATACTTAAAATAAACACTACAAAAAGTTTCCAACCGTACTCTAAAACGGGTACATTAAAAGAGGACGTTAAAATAATTGTTTTATACACAATTTTTTGTTATTAAATAAAACTCCCATCTCAGAGTGCCAGGGTGAAAGAGGATTTTTAAAGCTTTTTTCATTAAGTAAACAAAACTACTTATAACAGATAAGAACGCGTTTATATTTGTTCATTTTAAGACGTTTTGGATCTTTACAGGTTCCGTGTTACTTATACTAAGATGTCGATTGTCTTTTTATAATTAGGAGCATAGTTACCTGAAACAATATTTACGGAAGATTTCTAAATTAAGAAAAGTACAAAATCTTAACTAATAATTCTCAATAACTTAAGATTTTTACGTTTCACATGGCAAAAGTCCTATTTTTATAAAAAAATACACTGAGCATTAAAAAATAAAATCAAAAAAGAAAACCTGTTTAATGTACATTTAAGAGGGTTAAGTAAGGTTTGAGACGTGCTTCATTTTGATATTCTGAAATTAGTAACCGGCTATTTGTGGACTAAATCACAATACTAAGTTTTTATCACATATGTTTGTATTAATGAAATTGTAAATAAAATACCTATTTGTATTATTTAATTTATTTTCTTGTTATTTGACCTTGCTTACCATAAACTACCACCAATTCCAAATTTTGTTGGGAGTCTTGACTGAGAAGAACTGGCGATAAAAAAAAAGACATTAAAAATACTTTTTTTAAATGTTAAATAAATAATACTCGAAGTCCGTACTGTTTAATAGAGGTGACCTATAAAATATTATACATAAACTCTGTTTGTTCTAATAAAAGTTCGCAACGGTAACTCTACGTTCCTTTATTTCTGTGCATATTCTGCTCTCGAGGATTTTTTTATTTTTTTATTAAGAGAATTAAACCCTAATAGGGGAGTTTATGGCATTTTTTATTTAAAAAAAATAAATGTTTGTATCATTCACACTATAAGTTAAAATCTAAAAATAAATTATTTTTTTAAATTTTCCCGCGAAAACGCCATGTTCTGTCATGGCGTTGCTATGACGTCAGGCTCGCATAAGTTTTGAGTCTCTCAGGGCGCTTGTGCACTACACTGAATTTTCAGGTCCGGCGGTCCGATTTTTTCCGGTCCGGAATGACATGAAAAACTCGGATGAGTAGCTTGTGCACTTGTCCGTTTTTTTCCTGATTGGAGCGGCGCAGTGTAGGGCAGCTCTCTTTGAAGCTACACGTCACTTATGCTAGGTACGATGAGATTTTTGGAACGTTGGTAATTCCATTCGAAGACGTAAAAAGGTACCTAAATAATGATCTGATCGTTTTACATAAACCATAATAAATTATGGCAAGACGAAAGCATTTTTTTTACTACTATCGGATGACTACTATCAGATGTAAAAACTTATACCCTTACTAATTTAGGAACAGCATTATTCACATACAATAGCTAAAAATATCTGACATTAGAATAAAATTACTGATAATGGTCAAGTACTTCATGTTGAAATTTTTAAATGTGCTATTTTTTTCGAAGTTTTGTAAAAACAACTTTTAGCGATTACAGAGATAGACCAATCGGTGGCGCCATTTCGTAAACAAATCGAAATTAGTGCCGTGTTAGCGGAGAATTATTATGCTAAATGAACTTTACGAGATCAGTTGACTGTATTATATATAGGCATAATTTTATACGCGTGGTGTAGTTTCTTTGAGCAGAAATATTATTCCCTTAGAATACTTTTTTTTTTTAATTTATTAATGACACAAAAATACATTTAAAATTTTTATTAAATGCAAAAAAGACATTGAGTGTCACTTAATTACTTTTGTTAATCTTCTGTTTATTCTTTATTATTACTTCTGTTGTCAAATATTTATCTATACTTATCAATTGTTTAAAAAAATTTAGATAATGACAAATTTCCAGGCAAACTTTCATCCCCTATTTTTCGCAATAAAATGTAGCCTATGTCTACATTTAGATTTTTTCATGTATATAAAAATTTGATAATGACAAATTTCCAGGCAAACTTTCATCCCCTATTTTTCGCAATAAAATGTAGCCTATGTCTACATTTAGATTTTTTCATGTATATAAAAATTTGATAATGACAAATTTCCAGGCAAACTTTCATCCCCTATTCATCGCAATAAAATATAGCCTAAATTAATATAGTAAATAGACTTAACTTTAAGAAAGGTCTTAAAGTTAAGTCTATTTACTATATTAATTTCCATTTAGATGGGTTCAGTTGTCTAAACGTAACAACACTTATTTATCTTACTTAAGCTATCGAAACTTTTAATACGATTCTAAAATCTAGCTAAGTATCGATACTAGAACCATATGCTAATCAAATTAGAACTATACCGAGTTTTCCAAAGCATATGCAGTAATATATACCAACTATATTAAATCATCATATAAAATATAGCATTTTATAATCAACAATAAATATCGATTATAAATTTATTGGAATTTAACAATATTGCCGAAATAAATATCGATTCAAATCGATTATTTTTTTCCAAGCCTATTCCTTATGAATTTTCCGGATCTCGGACACAGCAGTGCACAAGCGTTAACACGTTTTTTATTGCCGCCATCATGGACCTGAAAAAACCGGTCCGGAATAGAGAAAAATAAAATTCCGGTCGGTAAAATTCCTGACAGTGCACAAGCGCGCATTACCTACATATGGCCTGACATATCGGACCTGAAAAAATCGGACCGCCGGACATGAAAATTCAGTGTAGTGCACAAGCGCCCTAAGTTCTGACAAGAGCAGAGGGGTGCGATTTCACGCTCTGTTTGCGGTCACGTGAGAACGATTGTAATAGATATTAATATACGTCAAAACGAGTATAACAGCTAATATTATATAATTTGCTTTTTTTTTCATGAAAGTGTGATTATCGATAATAGTATATTAAACACTATCAGAAAAAAAAATCGGTTACTATCTACACCCGTATTACGAAGGCAAGAGTAAGATAAACGACGAAACACTTCAAGATTTATATCGTACGTCGTTTTTAAAAGTGCTTCCTTTAGCTTCTCGATTGGTTAACTGTGCATTTCACCCCAACCTTCATTTGTCAAAGAGACGTTTAAACCTAGTTTAAACAGTTTTTTTTATAAACGTAAACGTCAAAGAGTAGAAGTAGAGAACATATAATAAAGTAATATTGAGCATAGTAGATATATAAATGTTGTTGTAAATTTATCATTAGAAAGTTTAATTTTATACTATTTCTTTCTGCATACTTCGAAGTAAAAAGGAAGGAAACAGTTCATTACCCAACAACAAAAATCGGAAAAGTAAGTTTGTGTACTTAGATATAGTTTATCATTTTATACCTTTTCTATTTTGTAAATATAATGTCTTACAGCAAAAGCTAAGCATCTACACAGCCATTATTGAAATGGCACCCCGTTACTTTGGCATTTATTCAATAGGGATGACGACTAATTTTTGTTTGTTGTCCGTCAGGTAGAGTGTTAAAAAACATTAAACACGTATTTTTTTCGTAATCATAAAATAACGGCGATACATGGAATTGAAATTTCGCATGACGGCACGTTATGGTACGTTTTCTACTCAACTGTGTCGTAGCGAGCCCCTACTCCTCAACTTTAATGCCTGTTATCTAAGCTATTTCTTGGTAAATTGAAGTAAAAAAAATACGTATTTAGTATTTTTCTATTATCTGACTGACGGACTAAATAGAAAACTAGTCATCATCCCTATTGTCACACTATTTTTTTCATCGGCTTTAATTATACATTTAACTGTCTGACTCTAGCCTCTATTCATATTTTAACCGAAGTAGCGCGGTTAAGACTAAAGTGGAAATGCCTCACCATGAGCTCGATGTTGGCAAATTGATGTAGCTATGATGGAAGTTGTATGTATATTATATTTTATTAATTTTTTACGCAAAAAATATTGAAAAGATTTTGATGCAATTTAATGCACAATACTAAACCGATAATAGTTGGCTTCTTTTATCCCACTAAACTGTTTCCAAGGGTAAGGGTAAGTACGTCATAGAATAAAAAACTAAGATTTATAGCTTTCACGTTTTCGAAGCACATAGGATCTTGAGTTGTGATAGTCATCAATCCAATGAGCAATCGTTTAGATAGTTATTGATAGATCTTGTAACGGTAGGTAGAAGTACCACATCATTTTATTTTGTTCTAGGTTCCCGCATCCAAACTTTTGGTCTTTGATCTTTAACATTATTTCTTTTTTATCATAAGTTTTTCTTTTCATTTATTATTTTAAATTTTTGAGGAACGCTATATCATCATATCAGCCGTTCGACACCCACTGCTGTGCATAGGCCTCCCCCATGGGTCTCCACTACTATAGGCCCTGCTCTGCCCGTATCCAGCAGGTGCAATGCACCCGGCCGCCGCGCCGATGTTGGTCTGATCTTGTAGTACCTACTAGTCGATGACTTCGGTAATGCGCCCCAAAGTTGTAATTTTATTTCAATAATTTTTATATTTTTCAACCGCTGAACAACAGTATCGAAATATTTGTTTTTAAAACACTATTTGTTGTTTTTTTTTATATAATATATGTGAATATATGTGATTCTTGCACCCGGGCGCCTGTTGTGCTTAAGACGGGCCTGGCTATATGTCCCGTCCAATGTTATTTCAGCTGAGCAATCCTTCGAGCCCTTTACGTTACGTTAGTTTTTCTACGGATATCCACGTTTCTTATTCATTGTCGGAGGGTCTGCCGTAATCGCCACGCTTGTGAAAATTTATGAAAATTTCTTCTACCGGCACATTTATATACCACATTTATACACCAAAATGCCCGTAGTTTTTACACAAAAAAAAACAATGAAAAATTTCCTTAAATTTTCACAGATTTTTACGTTCCGTAATCTTTGACTTACGGTCTTGTAAAAAAAAAGTATGGACACCACTGTGGCAAGTTGTTTTTAAAATTGACGCAGCTCATGAAGATTCCATAATGGTATAATACTTCATGATAACTAGCAACAAACTAAAAATCATACCATTTAGAATCAAGAACCAAAGTTGTGAGTAATAAATTGTACTGTTCCGAAATGTTTTAATATTTTAAAAAAATATTGAAATAAAACAATAGTGAGTTTTAGTCTCATTCATTTATGTTTTATTTTTTGGGACACGTTGTATATAAAAATATAAGTAATCTGTTAAAATTAAATATTTTTTAAGTGAATATGTTATAGACAAGTAATGTATTTAAAAGGAAATCCAGATTTTTTTAAATCTTATATATAATATAAAAATACCTCTTATCAAGCCTAGTCAGCCGTTTCATTTTCTAGCAACACCAAAGCTATTAAGCTCAATATCATTTTAAGGCAAGAAACACGACACGGATCTCTTAGAAGGTACACTATAGGATTTTTTGTGGATAGGTCTAAAGAGTTCACGAAGAAGAGTCTTACATGACTTTGCAAGCGGGATATACGAAAACCTACAAGAAAGGGAAGAGCTGTAAATGACAAATATACTAACCTGAGTATACATAGTAGGTGGATTGGGAAGTAGCAGACTGCAAACATGATTACAACTGCTACCAGCATTTTAGCAGCTTTCCGCCTCGACCTAAGCTGAGCTGTGAACAATATTGATTATTTAATATATTTGTTAAAATATAGACTATTTTACTGAGTATTGTTGTATTTTAATGTTTGTTTGTTCGAATATAAATATCAAAAAGCTACAAAATACACGGATATAGGTTATAATCGAGAGTGCGAGACTGTAAAATAGCATCCGTTAGTGAGTTCCCAATCTGAACATCCTTCACGATATAGGGATAAGGTAGGAAACCAGTTCTATGAAATGGGATAAAGAGTCAGGGTAGAGCAAGAGAGCAATATACAATGGGACTTAATTGAGGAAAAGAAGAAGTAAACAGGTAGAGAATAGAGAAGAGAAAGGGAAAGAAGAGATTATGTAGATGCCAATAAATCTGGTAATAAGTTGAAATAGAGGTATAATTATATTTGTACGATACTAACTTGTCAAACGACGTCACATGATATTTAAATTTATCCAACGATATGTAAAACGTCACATTATTATTTCCAATTCTCGACTTACGTAGTATTGTAATAAGAATGATATTTCATTTGCACAGACATTTCCAAAGGTCGAATCCGTGTTCGGAATATTAACTGGAGTCAGTTATACGATTTCGCTGATTTATTTCGCTTTAACTTTAAATGAATTTTCCGTGAGTTTCTTTCATAATGCATATATCATAATAATATATTACCTACATGTTTAGGAAGGGAAAAACCATTTGTTAAACGAGTATTATTATATTTTATTTATTTAGCATTCGCAATGCTATACTGGAAAATATTCTTAATGAAAAATGTTTAAGAATTAATAAATTGCTTGAACATTGATAAAATTACTAATAAAAATGCTTGAAAAATCTGCAGTCCTATAAGGTTCTGGATAGCTCCTGGATATGAATGTCGTGGGTTTGAGTTCTATCTCAGAGTACATGGTTCTTGTAGGTTTTTTAATTATTATTAATTAAGAATATTTTAATATCATTTTAAACATACGAAGGGCAGATGACCAGGATTTGGTTATTTTAAGAGTTACGGTGGAATAAAGGTGGAGCTTGATGTGCTGGATGAATCACCTTGAAGATGGTAAGGTCGAAATGTATTCGAGATATTTGATTGTTTTGTATAGACTGCGCTGTTGACTGTACGTAATTACACCATTATCGTAGTCCATTTCTCAAAGTAAGTCAAAGTTATTAAAAATGAAAAGGCTGTTGTCTTTAAAATACTCTCCCATTGTAAACGTCTTATAAGCCTAGACTCATTTATAATGTTAATTTTGTTTTAACTCTTGCTGGTGTCACAAAATAAAACTCTTTTAGTAAAGGAAAACAAATACAATTGTACTTAAATAAAATATGTGTTATGTTTTCTTGTTAATAGATTATCCCATCAAAAACAACGTACAAAAATGTACAAGTCTCACAACGCAATTCTTCTGCCGTAAAAAGTTATGAAACCATTGTAAATCAAGCCGATTAATTATTAGGAATACTTAACAAACCACACAACCAATAATTACCTGAAAACTTTTAAGTCAATATAGCATACCGTGAATACCTTTATATAGAATATTTTATGAAAGATTATGGAATTAACGTTATTTAGACTTAAAAGCAAAAACGATATCTAGAGTTTTCATTTCTAGAAGCATTTATTTAAATTGCTGTGTTAATAAGAGTCAAATCTTGCCTAAAATTTGTAACAATTCCGTGTTTTTATGGATGATAATAACTTTTTATATGGATCTACCAGTCCTGATGATAGAGCCAAATGGTATCCATTAATCCTTTTGATTAAACGAAGCAACCTCTTCGAGTTAGAGCTCGATAGAATAGGGACGATTCCTGGGTAAAAAAATCTATTGAGTCCGTCAGTAAGATAATTTCTTTTGCTTCAATTTAACAAGAAATGTGTTAGATAATAGGCAAAAAGTTGAAAATATGTAGGGGGGCTGGGGGCGCTAGGTCACAAATATGTAGAAAATGTAAAAGGTCGTCATGCGACATTTTACCTAAATGTACCGCCGTTGTATTATGATTACGTAAAAAATACTTGTTTATTATTCTTCAATATTAATAACAGAATTGTCTATTCTGAAATAATATCTTAAGTTAGATGATGGAGTTGGAAGGTGACTATGCAAATTGCCTAATTATTTATTGAACTTTATTGACCAATACAAACATGGCACAAAAGGCGGACTTAATGGTAATAGCATTGTTTCCCTGTCAATCTTTCGAAAAACTGACAAACGCGATGGCGGTACAGAGCAATAAAAATAGGTAAGTAATTTAAAAAAAACTACAACAACAATAATACTAAAGTAATAATGAACATGTCATTGCAGCATTTGTCTGCCATCTTGGATCGCCCGCCATTTTAAATTATGTTTAGCTAACCATGCATTATCATTTAAACTTAACCCGTATGCAGCTTTATTGGTTAAGAATAACTAATTTCAAATTCATTTACAAGATTTGACTTACTGAAAGGTTACATATTATGGCTTTGAAGTGGACGTATTGAATATACATTGGAGTTAAATAATAGCTTTAAAAAAGGCTCACGGTTTGTGTTTAAGTCTTTAAAAGTCTTCAAACATCAGTGGAATAGTCAAAAATTATCTATTAGTACTTTAATTGTTTGTGATAAATGTTTTTTCTTTTTGCATTCAAACAAACAGAAGCGTATAAATAAGCACCTTTTTTATAATAAACAAAGAGTAGAAATAGAGCTCCCTTAAAAAAATATAGCAATAAGTATTTGTTCATTTTATTCAGTTATCAAAATTGTATCAAATGAAATGGTTGTAATAAGGAAAAAAAAATCCCAGACTATTGGAGGTTTTCCAGTAAAGCTTCAGGTAAAAATCTAAAGCATTTATCTTGATGAATCGTTGCTATGTTATTTACTTGTTCGGGTATGGTGTAGGTCAAAGTTTTTCTTCGCCTAGTTCATTGAGTTTAAAGAAATTAAAATGCAATAACAAATAGCGGTTTCAAGGACATACTTATAGTCTCGGATATCAGGGATAGGTTTTGAACCCAATCTTTTTAACCTTAGTCAGCCCGGTGACTAAGAATCCTAACTCTGAAAACCGAGATTGTCGAAGTTTTGGATAACACGATGTTGTTTAAATATATAAAAACACTACATCCTTTAAGTTGAAGTCAACTATTTAATTTCGTGCAATAGCTAAAATCGCTAAAATGTAATAACCGGTACCAAACACAAACTGCTTTCAATCAGTTTTCGTCAATTTATTAGGAATTTGTTTATATATTCTTTTGTTGGAATATTGTGTGTGACAGAATTATGTCTTTTTATTTGCGATAATACATGTATGTGATTATTTTTCGAATGTTTCAATATATTTACCATGGCCTGGCTTCAAGACCTCATCTCTGAATTCCCTGGTTTTATTTCCTGTCAGGTTAACGTAGAAAATGAACTTTCTATATTGGTTCTTAGTTCTGTTGTTATAGATTTCTATAAGTGTGCACAAGCCGGCTCAATGGAAATTGGCACCCTAGGTAAAATACTACAACGACGCTTATATAAAATCATAACTTAAATAATAAAAATAAATTAAACACCGATTAATGAGTGTAGTTTGCCGATTACAAAAGAAACTATATCGTTTACTATGGGTCTCATAAGAAGGCTCTGGAGGCAATGGACAGGACATTAATAATAATATTTAAGTTTTATAGTTACAACAACAATTATTGTGAAAATTTCAAACGATTATCGTATACACAAATTTATTGAAACCGATTTTATAAATTCCATCCCTATTTAAAACCGTTCCATTTTTCGTTACAATTATTGATATATTAAACTTTAGTGGGTTAGATTTCAGTAATAATGTTTCTAATCATTTGGAAATAGCTAATGCGTGAAATGGATTTGTAAACAAA